CTCTCTTCCACAAGTCTTCAGCAGTTTTAATGGATACATTTTAGGGTAAAGGCCCTTCAGCTCACTCACTTCAATAGAGCTACAGGTGAAGCTAAGTGATCATCTTCACTTATCCCTTGGAAGCCTTTCCATGTCCCCCAGACTGCCATACTGCTAAAGTCTCTTGCAGGGCAGATGTCAGACCCCTTCTGAGCCTTCTGTGTACAGTAAAAGGAGACAGATTATTGGGCATCAGTGTCCCACAGTTTTCAAATTCACAGAGCACCTTATGAAAGGGGGAATAAAAAGATATGACTCCTGCTCTGGGTAGGAGACAAAGGAGAAAGCAAAATAAAACTGGCAGAAAAGCCAATCTCCCTATGCTAGAGCCTGAAGAGTTTTTTTGAAGAATGCAATTTACAAGTGTTTGCAAGAAAACAACTAGTTTCATGTCTGCTCAGGAAGCTGGAGTAATTGATTCTAAATAAGGTGAAATAAGGTGAAATAGCAGGCTTACTCCTCTAACCTTGTCAAACTGAGCTCAAAACTATAAAGTCACAGCTCTAAGTACTAAATGGGCAAGTCTCTGGAGAAAGTGTAATTGAGGAAATTATTGAATGTCATGTCAGAAGACTTACTGCAAATTTTGCAAGTCTCAGGCTGCCCAAGTAATTGAAATGATGCTTCACAAAGAAGCACATTCTTCTGTCCCCTATTGAAATGGACTTTACAGAAGCTTAAGACAGGGGGCGATTCAGTCCAGGACCACAGGTACATGACTGGCACTTGTCTGTTAGCTACTTTAATTAGGAAGTCTTCCTGAAATGAGTGCCTAAGGTCTATGTCTGGTCAGTGACGACAAGAAGGCCTATAGGAGATCTTCACAGGGATGTATCTTCTGTTTCTGCTGAAAGGGGACAAGCATTTCCTGTTGGGAGCTTCAGAAGGGCTTTATTTTTTTTCCACTGAGGAGGACCACTGAGTGTTCCCTTCACTACTTGTACTCAGAAACAAGTTCAGAGCTTAAACTAGTTGCACAACCTAATGAGCATACCTATTAAAATAAAATAGCCATCTTAATAGTCCTGTTAATCTCCACTATTTTTCAATCTGAGCAAACCTTAGTAATAAGTCTTGCTTTGTCCCCATAAACTGAGCAATTTACTGTCCTGATAATTATCCGTGCCAATAGCTGTACTGAGTCTGGTTGGGATGGAGTTAATTTTCTTCATAGGGATCCTTGTGGTGCTATGTCTTGGATTTTTGACCGAAACAGTGTTGATAACACATTAATGTTATAGCTGCTGCTGAGCAGTCACTGAACAGTATCAAGGATTTCTCTGTTTCTCACAATGCCTGGTCAGTGGGCTGGGTGGGGGTGCATAAGAAGTTGTGAGGAGACATATCTAGGACCACAACTCACCAAAGGGATATTCCCTACAATATGACATTGGGATCAGCAATAAAAGCTGTGGAAGAAAAAGGAAGGATGGAGGTTGAGATTTGTACAGCTGTTTCCTCAAGTCACTGTAAGATGTGATGGACCATGGCTTTCCAGGACATGGCTGAACTGATGGGAATCTGTGAATGAATTTTTTGTTTTGCTTTACTTGTGCACATAGCTTTGCTTTATCAATTAAACTCTTTATCTCAATGGCAGAGTTTTGTTGCTTTCACTTTTCTGATTCTCTTCTCTATCCTGCTGCTGAGCAGTGAGTAAGCATCTGCCTGGGGCTGAGCTACCTACAAGGATTATCCCATACCAGTAGAAAAGTCCTTCAAATAGTTGTTATCTTTAAGATATATTAGAGAAAAATAATTTTTAAAAGGGTTTTAATAAGATGTACCAAATAATTTCTCAAATTTTTTGCTCTTGACAAGTGTCTATTAAGCAATATACTATTTCCCCAAACAAAGGTGTGAATATTTGCCTATGCTGTTGTGTAAACAGAAGACTTAATGGCTATTCTGATTTTAACATAGGGTAGAACAGAAAAAAACAAGTCCCACATGAGTCACAAAAGATATTTTCAGAATTCTAATGATTTATTTGGATGTAGGAACTACTGAACTAGCTCTTTGAACAGGAGGAAGGTAACATTTTTTAATAAAATCTGCACATACTTCTACCACTTCTGTGAATGGTGAAGTTGAGGCAATAAGTGGTTAGAGATGTAAGAGCTATCAGCAGTCACATACAGATGGAAAAATTGAAGAAAATTCTAACATTGCCTTCCCAATTAATGAATCTAGCAACATTTCCAGACAGGTATCTCTTGAGAAATTACTGTTACTCAAATACAAAGACCTGTGGAACTAGGGAAAGAATGTAATTACATTAGGTCCAGAGAACCTGTTACAATTGTTGATTAGGCTTTTCCATTACAGAGAACTACCCTAGAGAATTAATTAGCTAGAATCTCCTATATATGAGAGAATAATAAAGTTAGTTACTTTTTAAAAGTTATTATTAAATTTGGCATCACAATCAATGACTTAATTTTAACTGAGGTTCTGAAACACTTCATACTGCATTTTTCAAAGTTTTGTCCCATCTTTCCTCTAATGGAGTTTCTACCACAGAATCTTAGAAGTTAAAGCTGGAAAGTACTTATTGAATCACATTTTCTCTCTTTGATTTTAGCAACATGAGTGATGTAACAGTTCCTTTGATCACTTATTTCACTTAATCTTGAAGACTAGCTCACAGGATTTCTCCATGCTCTAATTTACTTTGCAAAGAAAAATCCCAACCTCAAGCCCTGAAAAACCCTGAAAGACAGTAAAAACAATTAATAGAGCAGCTGAAGGTACATTGTATGTTTTTAATCAATAATTACTCTAATTTAAGTTTAATGTGCATAAGCTGTTTACATATATAATGGTATTGCCTTCTAAGGACTGGAGGCACTCCAAGGGTCACAAGGCTTCAAAGTAGAGTATTATTGTCAAATTTAAGATTTCTTGAGTTGCAGCATGCTTTAAAAATGAAATCAATTGTCATTAAGTTTTAGAAATTAGAGGGATATTTTATTGAATACTATTGACATTATATGAATATTATTAATATTCTAGCATGCAAGGCAAAAGCCAACCCTAGCTGTACATGCACAATGATGGGCTTTATTTTCATTCAGGAAAGAGATGTTGTATTCAGGGTGGATAATTCCATGAAAACATCATCTCTGGGGCTGCTAAAAATTAAGCAGAGTGCTAGGAATTAGTAACAAAACTCAAGAGCAAACACAAAACATGGTGCATCCATGTCTCAACAACACAGATCTAGTCACACATCTCAGACAGGAAATAGTATAGAATAAGAAGGTATATAGTGAGCACAAAGTAGATGAGTAAATAGGACAGATGAGGATAAATCATGCTCTGGGTCAGTTTCTGTATCACAGAGATTAAAATAGAGAAGACTGTGGAAGACAAAACAGGTGAAGGAAGATATGAGAGAGCTCTGTAAAATCTTGACCATCCTGGGAATGATTAGTCACTGTTCTTCACATAAGAACAAGGAAGCATCAAATGAAATTAATTTCTAGTAGGTTAACACAAATAAAAGGGAGTACACAGGCCCATTTTAGAACTTATTGCTAGAGGAAACTCTGGGTGCCAAAATTTTAGATGAGTTTAGGAAGTCGCTTCAGAAAATGTTTTACCAAATTAAGGAAAGAAAATTCCACCAAGGTCTATAAACCACACAAAAAGGAACTCTGGGCCAGGAAATTCCTAAATTGCAGATTGGCAGTAGTGGTGAGGTGTTTTACTGTGGGTAGTTTGAGGAGGTGCATATCTACTTGTTTTATCCTTATCTTGTGGTACCTGATAAAGGTCACTTCCTGAAATAAGACACAGCTAAATGAATCTCTGGACTGTAACAGCATAGCTGATATTGTGCCCTTGTCCCAGAGCAGAAAGAAAAGTGACAAAACACCCTCTCTTTGCTTCCTGTTTAATACACTTCCACCTATTTCTCAATATGGATTGAACATATTGCAAAGTTACTTGGTAAAACATGAGCTCTGGCTCATCCTTGCTCCCAATACACTCTGCCTTCAGGTGAAACTGGAAATAACGGCCAAGGCAGGTCCCCCCTGCCGCTGCCTCCAGGATGTGGCAGTATCTTGGAAAAAAAACTATCCCTAGTGCATATATACTGGTAAGTATGTTTAAATATACTGAAGCAAATGGCCTCAGGTTTTAGACTGGGGCCAGATGGGTGATTGAAGTGAAAATAGCACAGATACACAGAGGGATGGTGACTTCAAAACACTGAACTGTCTGGTTAATATGATGTACAGGCTCTGAACAGTACTGAATGTCATTTACCTTATATTTCAATACTGTGTTCATAAAAATAAGAAATAAAGATCTGATGCATCTCAAGACACTGAGAATTTAAAGCTATTTTTGGAACTGACTTTAAATCTTTGACTTTACAAGTGAACACTTTGTTGAGGAAGGGACAAGCAGCCACTAAAATTATGCCACTTCATTTAAAAGTGGAATTTAAGGCTCATGTTTTCAGATTTACAGAATTTATATTATTATTTATATTATTATAAATTATATTATTTATAATTATATAAATTATAAATTTATATTATTTATATTAGTAATATAACAGGATACCACATATTCACATTTATGACCATCTCTCTTTTATTCTCCTGAATGCAGAGAACTGCACTATCAGAAGTACAAGCAGAAAAAACTGTTTTGAATGCAAGCTATAAAATACTCATTATTGAATCTCTCACTCACAAATACATGTTTTACAACCAAAATTTTCTCATTTATTTATGGCTTAAGTAGGATAAATATAGCTTGAATTTACTATTCATTCCTCTTCCCCATCACAAGATGTCCAACCAAATCAGGGAATATTTAAATCAAATTTTTAAGTGAAAAGTTAAATTTTGTCTCCTCTCCCAGAAGTTAACATGTTCCCAGTGCTTTCCATTCTCATTGTTTACCTGTGGTGGATATGGAAGCAAATATTCTACAGAACATACCATGAACAGCTGCAGCAACAGCACCAACAAAAGCAACATGTGTTGTTGGGCCTTTGGTTTCCAGGTGCTTGAGACACAGCTGATGTTCCTTCATTTTGTGACTGCTGCCTCTTTCTCATGTCAGCTACTTCAGTGCCCAAGTGGCTATAAGAACACAGACATAAGAGATGTACAGAATTACTACAGACTGTCATAAATTACATTCACATTTCTACAGCAATGCCTGATGCAACTGCCCTGCTCACAGCACAGGGCAACAAAAGCGTGTGACCATGAACTGAGGCAGCCAAGTAATAGCTCCTGTGTGCTTCCAGAAGAGCACATCTCAGTGGCACTCTTATGCTCCTGGGCTGCTGAATCACACCCATCCTTACTGCTTAGGCTGCACTCAAAGAGCTCTTTATTATCAGCAAGCCATACAGCTTTTGTAGCACTTGGGAGAGACTGCCTTGTTCCTCACTATAGGACTATCACAGCTGTTTCCATTGTGCTAAATATACAGCTAAAAGTACAGCAGGATGGTTATTCACCTTCAACATGAGTTGGAAACTGATTTTTTTTTTACTTTTTAACTTTAGTCTACGCTGGACCAATGAAATTGATATACGTGATCTTATATTGAGGGCAGCTGTCTGGTAAGGGCCAAGATTTTTATATGGCATAACAGAGAGGCTTGTTACTTAAGAGTTATACTTGGTAAATAAAATGAATAGTAAATATGTATTTATAAAATACTTTTCCACCTTTGAGACTATTTTCTCAAAGATCTTTTCTCAGAAGATCTTTTCTCAAAGTCTCAGATCTTCTTTGCTCATTGCCAGTTTTTCCTAGATTTTACTAGGCCAAGATTTTGTTCCTTCCAGTGACTTAGAACATGCAGCTGGAAGTAGTATACTGTGCGTTATCTACTCTTCAAAAGAAGTTAAACATTTACTGATAAGTTACATTATTTAGGAAGGTTTAGATGTCAGGCTCCTTCTAATGGCTCACATCTTTCTACAACAACTTTAAGTTTCCCAGAGTAATGGCTAGTACAAACATATAAATTAGAGTAAAATTTGGTACTTTTGTCTTTGCAAAAGTGCTAACAGATTACTGTGGAGAGGAGCTTGGTTTAAAAGAGAAGCAGGTAGAGATGACCTGGTCTGTGCAGCATGCACTGTGCTCCACACTCCCAGGGCATCCTGCTACAACCAGGGGTGCTGGGGAAAGGCAAAATCTGATTGATCTGCCACCTGGGTACACCATGCACAGACAAATAAGAGACATGCCACTTCTTCTACATGCACTCAAGCAGCAGCTGTGAGAGTTATCATTTACATGGTTGCTAAAACTCCAGAGGCTTTTAAAATAGTGTCCTTCTAGACAGCTTAGACACAACCACACACAGCAAGGATACTAAGCTTCAGAACTCAAACCCATGCTCTAAAACTCAAGAAACTCAAGGGTGGTGGTTATTTTGGCTTCTTACATAGCTACCTTTTCCATGTATACTGTCACTGAGTAGAATCAAGTAATTTCTGTAGTGTTTGGTCAAATCAAACAATGAAGAACTATTTAACTATCACTGGTAGTTGCACCTGCTTAGGCCATTGATATGACTTATGGTTTATAGCTGCTCTTGAAAATTAAAATGACATGCAAACAAAACCCCCACGCCTTTATTTTTTTTTTTCATATCAAATGCAAACCTCTGGGGTTACAAAGGGATGCTCTGGTGTAACTGGATAACTGCCCATATTTTTTCAATAGATAGGATGGAAGGGAAATTGTTGAAGCATAATATGTAGCTCAGAGTGTAAGTGACAGTATGAAGTCTTTTTCTCCAAATTACAATGCAGAACTTCTGCTGACTGTGCATGATGCATGTAAATTATTTCATAGATAGCTGTGTCATGCTGTGAATTGGTATTTTTTTCAGCAAGTGCAATGACTGTGGTTAAAGGAATTAAAGCCAGATATTTGCAAATGGAATGTTTGTTTCTTTTGCAGTAAGATAGTGATTCTAGAAATATTTGTACAACAACAACAACAACAAAAAACCAAATAAAATGTATTAGTTTCAGAAACCAGTAAGTTATCCATATTTAAGGATTGTTGGGCTATAATCCAATTCATTTCACCTGTGTACCTGAAGTCAAGCATTTTTTTCACCATTTTAGCTATATATACATTTAAAATGTACTATGGATAGAATATGTGGCACTATAAATACAGGGGACAGGATGAAGGTTATCAATTCAGACATGATGATGACCGCTGGTGACTTTGCTGTAGTTTCACAAAAACTTTACCACACCACAAGATGCTGCAGCAAACTAAAATAAATAACCCTCTCCCTTTTCTCCTGCACAGCTCACAGTCACTCATTACCTCATCTGAGCTGTCTCCCTTCTCTGTGTTGGAAGTAGCATTTGTACAGGAACCTGGTAAATTTGATAAGAGAATAGCCATGATTGAAATTTAATCTAGAGGGAGAAGAAAAAAAATAGACTTAACTTGCTTCAAGTGACTTTCTCATTTACCTTGAGAAGATGTGAGAACTTGGACAGAGCAGGGGAGAAAACTCAACATCAGGCAGGCAAGGAGAATGTGGGGACGACTTTCTTCCATTCCTGCTCACACTGTCAGCAAGTGATGGTGAAATGGGTGGGAATTATGCAGCTGCAGAAAGGTAAAATCTGCAACTGCAGTTCCCAACACACAGAATATGGCAGAGAGGGACAGTCAGAAGTGGGGTTTCTCAGGAATGTTTCATACCGTTGATCCTGACCAGCAACCTCAACCACTGAAAAGTCTCCAGCATTCATCTTTTGGTATTAACTAGCATGGCCAACTGTTTCAGAGATTTGCAAGTTTGGTAGGACACAGAATTGTGAGGAAATATGGCTCTCCATTGTAGAGCATTTCAGGAGAAATTACTTCCTCCAATGTTGCTCAGAGCCAGTCTAAGCCAGTCTTTAGAGTAGAACTGCTTGCTTCGCTATGTTATAACAGCTCTAGAGTATGGGGAGGCACATAATCCATCCCCTTTCTGGCCATGCATTACTTGGTGAAGGAAGAGGGCCGTCCTTGATTGCAGGTAGACTTACATTTATCTAATTAGGCTGTATTTGAAAAATAAAAAGAAACAGCTAAAAGAAAGAAAGAAAAGATTCATAGAGTCAGAATCATAGAATGGGTTGGAAGGGACCTGAAAGATATCTGGTTCCAATCTCCCTGTCATGGCCAGGGACACCTTCCACTAGGCCAGGTTTCTCAATGCCCCATCCAACCTGACCTTGAACGCTGCCAGGGATGGATGGGGCACCCACAACTTCTCTTGGCAACTTTTTCCAGTGCCTCACTGCTCTCACAGTAAAGAATTCTATTCCTGAGGAAGGAAGAAAGAGCAAGCAACACCCCCCAGTCCTGCATATACATCCAAGGATATTCTGGCTCTAGCAGAATAAAGCATTAATTGCAATGCCAGTGAAGTGCTACAATGGGATACATTTTGAAATGGGTTGTAAACATGGATATTATATAGTGGGACTATCCTTAGTTGCCAAATATAATGGGGAAAGATCTTACTGCCACAGTGGGAAAAAGTTGTATTTAATCCATTTCAGATTCTCTCCTTTCCACAGCTGACATTGGTGTTCACTCTGAACCTTGCTGTGTCTCATGGTACAAAAAAAGTGATTTTGTCTGGCATGACTGGTGTTCTGCTCAATAAAAGCATAAGGCTGAAACTCCAAGCAATGGGACTATTCTCAGTGAATACATGAAGTGTTCACTGGCTCAACCAGTGGCTGAAGTGAAAGTCTTCAGCCCTGTTCTTCTGCTTGTGTTACTTTCTCTCAGACAGATTTAAGCTGAAATTTATAATATGAAAAACCCACCCTGTGAAGCAAAACTATTACATTTACTGAGGATGTAGTTGGATGGCTGGAAACTTTAGTTTCATGCTTATTTTTGTTGGATTTCATGTTTCATGTTTTATTTGCAAATACCAGATGTCATCTACGCAAAACAGTAATTGATTCCATTAGATTATTTAGGATGCAGAAGCAGGAATATCTTAATTCTTGGCTATATTTAGAGACTGAGCAGACAGAGGGTTTATTTTTGGTGCCTTGGTCCAAGGCATAAAAAGAAATTTAGAATCTTTGATTCAGCAAGTGACTCCAATGAAATGAACAATTTTTCTGGAGTGTGAAAGTTAGTACATAATTATGAAGGACTAGAATGTTGTGCAGTGATTCTGAGAAGACCTTCTTGAATAATAGTACAAATAATACACACTGTCTCCAAGATCTCAGTTGCCTTTTAGCTTTTTCATCACTTTTACTCTTCCTGAGACCCTCTAGCTTGGCAAAAGTGCTGAGTAGTTGGTGAAGGTGGGCCTTTTGTCCAATGGAACAGTTTTTCTCTTTGGTAAACTACATATGATCTCTCAGACTATCACAGGTATCAATTTCTTCTGCTGGTTTTGCATCTGGCTCTTTGCCTGCATTTGGTGGCATGGTTTACTAACTGTGTTATGATTTCTGTTTGTACTGGTAGGAAATAGGAATAGTATTTGAGCTGGTTGGACTGACTCATTCTCTTGGGGGTGGATTGGTATTATGGCCCTTTGAACAATCCCACAATCATGGAGGACTTCATTTTGCGTAACATCTGCTGGCCCTACTCTGTAGCTGAGGAAAGGAGCCCAAGGGTACAGCAACTGGTTTTTATACCAGTTATGAGACAGATAGCTATTATAAGCTGCAGAGTAAGGAAGTCTGTGCAAGCCTTCAATCTTCCAGTGCTGGAAGATTACGAATATTAAAAAACCCTTAGAAATTTGGAGTAAGCTTTCCTATTAGTTCTGGAACCAATGGCACAAGGATCTATTTCTGTGTTTAGATAGTGTAATTACCACTTATTTCATTGGGTCCCCAGGAGTAATTATTACAGAAAACCCCTTGTGTGCAGAGCACTGTCTTGGGAAGACTGCTCAAAAGAAATAACTGATGGAAGAATTATTTGGTTTATTACATTTATACCTGGGAAGCCCTATTGAATATAGACTACAGTCCTTCAAATTCCACAGAGTAACTCTAGAAAATGAAAAAAAGGCAATTTCTCAATTGTTGCACTTCCCTGACTCTCTACCT